GTGGAGAGAGCTGCTGCTCTGTGTCACAGCGCTGGATTGAGATTGGGCTCAGGTAAGCATAAGGCGGGGCTGGGGGAGTCCTGGACACAGGAGAGATTTTACCTTAATGCAGAGAATATAGTTAATGTAAAAAAACCCCTTAAAGTGGAACTTTACCCATAACAACTTGATAAGCAATAATGTTCTTTAGCAAGGAACATTCCACATTAATAATTACACTACCAAAATTAGCGTGTGTTGTAAATTGCCTCCAGCTTTGTTCCTGTTTCTTCTTGCTGGAGGCTGCCGTTCTGCTGAAGCCCAGAGCCCCTGAGCAGCAGTAAATCTTTAGGGTGTCAGCAGATCAGTTCCTATATTTTCAACACAATGTGGAAAAATAGAGAGCAACTGAGCATGTGCAGAGTAGGGTGAGACAGTGTGTTACTGGATTTTAAACTGTATAGGCACTTATCTTTAAGGTTTTATATAGCTGTACCTGCAAAAGGTACCAACCTGAAGTGATCTAGAAAGACTTAATTTTCTGACTAAAGTTCCACTTTCAGTCTTTAGAACCACTTTTAAGAGGAAGTTCAGTCTATAAGAAAAAATTAAAAGTCAGCAGCTACAAATCCTGTAGCTGCTAAATTTTAATAAATGGACATTTACCTGTACAAGGATCCACTGGCATCCTCACCCGGGCTAGTTTTTCACTAGCCTCTGGGTTCCTGGCACCAGCATCTTAACTGTGGACAGTTGCCTCACAGCCAGCTGTCTACTGCGCATGCGCAAGCCCATTGCATTTTTGTGAATGGTCCTGCAGTCTTCAGAACCCTGTGATGTGTCCCAGAAGATTGCAGGTGGGAGGGAAGGAGAACTTCTGCTTAGATCGTCTAGGCCAGGGGTCCTCAAACTACGGCCCGCAGGCCACATGCGGCCCGCCGAGCACATTCATCCGGCCCGCCGGCAGGGGACACTAAGTACAGGGGCGGGCAGCGGGCTGCTATCTCTTACCTGACTCCAGTCCCACGATGATCCAGTCCAGGATGCGCAGCTCCTTCACTCCGGCCACTCCCTCACTCGATGTCCGCGCTGCCGCTCGCTCCGCCTCCTCACCGGTGATTGGGCGCCAGTACTGTAGCTCAGGAAAGGCACACAGGAATCAAGGGAGGGAGAAGCCGAAGTGAAGGAAGGAGGACAGCTGACTGCCCGGTAAGTGTGTCGTGCAGATGGTACTGCTGCAACCAGGTATGCTGGCTGCAGCAGCACCATGCTGGAACAGGGGTCGGCTAGTTAAGTGTCATTGCTGTCAGTGGGAGGAATAGTGCCCCATCATTGGTGTCACTGATAATAATGATGGGGCATTATTCCCCCCACTGACACCAACGATGGGGCACTATTCCTCCCACTGACACCAATGATGGGGCACTATTCCCCCCACTGATACCAACGATGGGGCATTATTCCCCCACTGACACCAACGATGGGGCATTATTCCCCCACTGACACCAACGATGGGGCACTATTCCTCCCACTGACACCAATCCCCCCCCACTGACACCAACGATGGGGCATTATTCCTCCTACTGACACCAACGATGGGGCATTATTCCCCCACTGACACCAACGATGGGGCATTATTCACCACTGACACCAACGATGGGGCATTATTCCCCCCCCACTGACACCAACGATGGGGCACTATTCCTCCCACTGACACCAACGATGGGGCACTATTCCTCCCCACTGACACTGACACCAATGATTGGGCACTATTCCCCCCACTGACACCAATGATGGGGCATTATTCCCCCCACTGACACCAATGATGGGGCACTATTCCTCCCACTGACACCAATGATGGGGCATTATTCCCCCCCACTGACACCAATGATGGGGCACTATTCCTCCCCCCAACTGACACCAATGATGGGGCACTATTACTCTCACTGACACCAGTGATGGGGCACTATTCCTCCCCCACTGACACCAACGATGGGGCACTATTCCTCCCCCCACTGACACCAACGATGGGGCACTATTCCTCCCCCCACTGACACCAACGATGGGGCACTATTCCTCCCCCCACTGACACCAACGATGGGGCACTATTCCTCCCCCCACTGACACCAACGATGGGGCACTATTCTCCCCCCACTGACACCAACGATGGGGCACTATTCCTCCCCCCACTGACACCAATGATGGGGCACTATTCCTCCCCCCACTGACACCAACGATGGGGCACTATTCTCCCCACTGACACCAACGATGGGGCACTATTCCTCCCCCACTGACACCAACGATGGGGCACTATTCCTCCCACCACTGACACCAACGATGGGGCACTATTCCTCCCACTGACACCAATGATGGGGCACTATTCCTCCCACCCACTGACACCAACGTGATGGGGCACTATTCCTCCCACTGACACCAATGATGGGACACTGGCACAATGATGGGGGCACTCCCCCACTGACACCAATGATGGGGCACTATTCCTCCCACTGACACCAATGATGGGGCACTATTCCTCCCACTGACACCAATGATGTGGCACTATTCTTCCCACTCCTAATGGTGGGGCACTATTCCTCCCACTGACACCAATGATGGGACACATTCAATCCCACTGACACCAATGATGGGACACTATTTCGCTCCATAAGACACACTTGGGGGGAAATGTCTGTGCGTCTTATATAGCGGCCGGCCCAGTATTCCCACCGCCGTTGTATCTCCGCAGTCTCTGAACAAATGCAGGACACAGTACAGGAGATGACCATAGTTTTTTTTTTTTAAAAACTATAGTCCGCCCTCCAACGGTCTGAGGGACAGTGAACTGGCCCCCTGTTTAAAAAGTTTGAAGACCCCTGGTGTAGGCGATGCAAGCAGAAGTGGGAGTGGGTACCTGTCAAAACTAGGTACGTGCCCCCCCTCCAGAATTACGTGCCAAGTTAGGCAGAGGAGGGGGGGGTCCTAAAGCAGAACTTCCCCTTTTGGGAGAAGCTCCTCTTCAACCACTTTCACTATCGAGCTATACGGCTACAGCGCGGTAGTCCAGTTCTGTGAGGGCGTGACATGACATCCTCCCAGAATGCGCCCCCTGCACCCCTCTAGCGTTTGCACCCGGTGCTGTGATCGCTGTGTCCTTTGGACATGGCAAAAGGCCATTCACAGCAGCCGTTTACCACGTGATCAGCTGTGTCCAATCACAGCTGACCTCTATGTAAATACACTTGCCGGTTATCGGCAGTACTTTCCTCTTGCTGTCACAGTGTGAAGAAAGTACTGCCGGTAACTGGCAACTGTCAAAGCAGACATCTGAACTGATAATCAGTGCTGCTCATCTGTGCATCTGTGCCAACAGTGCTGCCCATCAGTTCCCAGCACTGCTGCCAGTCGGTGCCATCAGTCTGTGTTGCTAGTCAGTGCCCATCATTGCTGCCTATCAGTGCCACATATCAGTTCAGCATCATCAGTGAATCCTCATCAATGCAGCCTATCAGTGCCCATCAGTACTGTCTCATCAACACATATCAATGAAGGAGAAAAATTACCTGTTTGCAAAATTTTATAATTGAAACAATGCAAACTTTTTTTTTTCAGAATTTTTGCTCTTTTTTCATTTATAGTGTAAAAAATAAAAACACCCAGTGGAGATTAAATACCACCAAAAAAAAGCTCTGTTTGTGTGAAAAAAATTGAAAAAAAGCTGAAAATCGGCCTGGGCAAGAGGGGGGTAAAAGTACCCGGTCGGCAAGGGGTTAAGGAGCAGTTGTATTACTTTACAAACATCCTTTTCTTCAAGATTGACATCTAGTGGTGAGAAATGTGCACTGCAGAAATCAGATAAGGCAGAAACTATTAACCACTTGCCCTCCAGAGGATTTACCCCCCCCCCTTCCTATTTCAACTGGTAATTGCGTGGTCATGCAATGCTGTACCCAAACAAAATTTATGTCCTTTTTTTCACACAAATAGAGCTTTCTTTTGGTGGTATTTGATCACTGCTGGGTTTTTCAGTTTTTGCGCTATAAACCCAAAAAGTTTGAAAAACAATTATATTTTTTACTTTTGGTTATTAAACATATATAGTAAACTCCAAGTTATTCATACATTTAGACCAAAATGTATTCTGCTACATGTCTTTGGTAAAAAAAAAAAAATCCCAAAAAGTGTATATTAATTGGTTTGTGTGAAAGTTATAGCGTCTACAAATGGCTGTATAGATATTGGAATTTACACCATTTTTTTGCTTTACAGCGCTGTGCTCGTTTAACTGACAATTGCGCGTTCATGCAATATTGTACATAGATGAAATTTGTCATTTTTCTGACATAAATAGAGCTTTCTTTTGGTGGTATTTGATCACCTCTGGGGTTTTTTTGTGTGCTATAAACAAAAAAGACTGAACTTTTGAAAAAAATATTTTTTTTCTTATTTTTGTCATAAAAAATATGCAATAAACTCAAATTGCATCATACATTTAGGCGAAAATGTATTTTGCTTCATGTCATTGGTAAAAACAAAATCCCAATAACTGCATATTAATTGGTCTGTGTGAAAGTTATAGCGTCTACAAACTATGGTATAGTTACTGGAAATTATAAAAAGAGAAAAACAGCGCCTCTGAGTGTAGACTGTTAAAAAGTATTTATTGGTGAACATGAATAAAACCATTCTCATGTAGATGGTAAAGATCAGGCTCATAAGGGGTTAACAATGCACAATGCCACCTGATGATCTGGACCAGAGTACAAGAGTACAAGAGTGCAGCCTGCACAGCAGGGAGCACTGGAGATCCGGATGCAGACCAGGTGAGGATGCAGGAACGTGGGTGCAGCAGCAGGTTGGTATGGCGGCAACCGGGATACAGGCCAGGTGCGGATGCAGGAACGTGGGACAGCAGCAGGTTGGTATGGTGGCAACCAGATGCAGACCAGGTTCAGATGCAGGAATGTGTTGGTGCAGCAGCAAGTAGGTATGGCGGCAATCAGAATGCAGACCAGGTGCAGATGCAGGAGTGTAGGCGTGCGGCAGCAGGTAGGTATGGCAGTAACCAGAATGCAGACCAGGTGCAGATGCAGGAGTGTAGGTGCGGCAGCAGGTAGGTATGGTGGTAACCAGGGCAGACCAGGCTAGGTGCAGGTGCAGGAAATGGTGGTAACCAGGGTGCAGTAGGTGCAGCAGCAGGTAGATATGGTGGCAACCAGGATACAGGAACATATGTGCAGCAGTGTCAGACAAGCCGGGTCAGGATCAATCGGGCAGATCAGGTACAAGGGAGCAGGCAAGCGGATAGTCAGGGATAAGCCGAATCGGTGCAGGCGGAGTTCTTTTTTTGGTCAGGGTCAGATCAGATACAGACAACAGAATCAGGTTATCAAGTACAGGACGTTATAGACCAGAAGGCATAGGCTAAACTGTGTTGGTGATTTAAATAGCCCGCCTTGCGGGGACGTGTAGGCTAGTGCGCATGCGAGCAACCGCACGCTCTTGCGCATGTGCACTCGCACCACTGCGGCTAATAGGGATCCGGCGCATAGATGCGTGACGGCGAGGGAGCGATCCCTGACACTACCGTTTTAGATTTATACAGGAGGTCTAGTGCTAGAATTACTACCCTTGATGATAAGTTCGCGGCGATACCTCACATGCATGGTACAACTGTTCTTTACATACCAGCATGGGGTTAACGCTTGCACATGTGTGGGCAGGGCGAGGGTGTTTTTTTTTTTTATTATTTTTACACTGTCCCTTTCATTTTTCTTTTCTTTTCACTTTTATTGTTATCACAGGGAATGTAAATAACCCCTGTGAATGCAATAGGCAATGACAGGTATTCTTTTATGAGAAATCAGGGTTCTATTAGACTCTTGATATCTCCTTGTCCCTTACATCATCTGATCTACCCAAAATCGGTGTGATCAGATGTTTTCCCAATTTAAAAAATGGTGCTGTTTATATCCTGTGAAACTGAAGTGATGAAATGTTCGTAGTTTCCGATATCTTAGACTGTAGAGATGATTGGCGCCATTCCAGTCTCCAAACAGCTCTATGGTCAGCCGGCAGAAACACTGGCTGCATTCTCATGTTCCCCCGATGGCACGGACTGCCCGAGAAAGCAGTGGAAGGCAGCTGGGGGGGGGGGGGGCATCTTCTCACCTTCTCCTGCTGCTTGTAAAAGCAGTTGCAGGCATCACCCTGGTATAACCATTCAAAGTCCAGTGATGTACCAGTAGATCGCTGGTCCTTTGTTGGGTATATATGCTATGTTCTTTTTTTTTATGTAGCCTGTGGGCTGAATGAAAAAAAGAGAAGAAATCTCTGCCAAAAAAATGTGTGGTATGCCCACCATTAGAATATACCACCCTGCATCCACCCACTTCTAATGGTGGTCACACATGAAATATTCTTTTTTTTGTTCAGCCCGTGAGCTTTCTCTATTCACATCGATGGATGTGGATGAAGAAATCTCTGCCAAAAAAAGATTAAAAATATATGCCAAAGTATAGAGGCTATCCACCCACTGGCCACCCCAAGCCCCCATGCTTGGGCATTTTTAACTGTGGATGAAAAATCTCATCCAACAGCACTGCACACACTTACTTATGTATATTCTGAGACCAAGACCCTGTTGCTGTCAGAATAAACAGATTGGTGCTGCAGCTGAATGGCAATCCTGCAAAGAAAACCGCAATGGTCAACAATAAAACAGTAACTCAATAAAACAACTTTTTTATTGAAATCTGTGCCAAAAAAATATAATAAAATATATATGCCAAAGCATAGGGGCCATCCACCCACTGGCCACCCCAGGCCCGCATGCTTGGGCATATATGCTCTTTTTTAAACTGTGGATGAAAAATCTCATCGAACAGCGCTGCACACACTGAGAGCAAGACCATGTTGCTATCAAAATAAACAGATCAGTGCTGCAGCTGAATGGTATTCCTGCAAAGAAAATAGAAATGGATAACAATAAAACAGTAGCAATATAACAGTAACCCAATAGAACAACTTTTTTATTGAAACATGTACCAAACAATATTATATATATGCTGAAGCATAGGGGCCATCCACCCACTGGCCACCCAGGCCCCCATGCTTAGGCATATATGCTCTTTTTAAACTGCGTATGAAAAATCTCATCCAACAGAGCAGCACATACTTACTTATGTATATTCTGAGAGCAAGACCCTGTTGCTGTCAGAATAAACAGATCGGTGCTGCAGCTGAATGGCATTCCTGCAAAGAAAATGGCAATGGTTAGCAATAAAACAGTAACAATATAACAGTGACTCAATAGAACAACTTTTTAATTGAAATATGTGCCAACAAATATTATAAAATATATATACCGAAACACAGGGGCCATCCACCCACTGGCCACCCAGGCCCCCATGCTTGGGCATGTATGCTCTTTTTTAACTGTGGATGAAATATCTCATCCAACAGCGCTGCACACACTTATGTATATTCTGAGAGCAAGACCCCCCTGTTGCTGTCAGAATAAACAGATCGTGCTGCAGCTGAATGGCATTCCTGCAAAGAAAATGGCAATGGTTAGCAATAAAACAATAACAATATGACAGTGACTCAATAATAAAACAACTGTTTTTGTTATTGGATACAGGTGAGACATCAGGGGTCTTTTAGATTTACCCTCTCTGTGCAATGGTATGGCACAAAGCCGCCCTAAACATCCTCTTTTGGGGTCACTCGCCAGTGATCTTTGCTCTTCCTCCACCAGAATTTCAGGCTCCGCCGCTATCAGCAAACCCAGGACCAGCATGGCGTGTGCCATCGGGGAGATGGGAGGGAGATTAGCAAACGTCTGTTTGATTATCTGCCTTTCCTGTTAAACAGTTGGAAAGTTTTTTTTTTTTTTTAAATTAAAATAACAAACATGTTACAGTTGCAAGAAAAAGTAAGTGAACCCCTTGGGATTACGTGGATTTTTGCATGAATTGGGCAGAAAATGTGCTCTGAACGTCATCGAAGTCACAACAATAGAAGAACACAGTCTGCTGAACATAATACTACACAAACATTAGATGTTGCCATGGTTTAATTGCACATAACATGTAAACATTCACAGTGCAGGGAGGAAAAAGTATGTGAGGCCCTAGCTTAATGACTTCTCCCAGAGCTAATTGGAGCCAGGAGTGAGCCAACCTTGACTCCAATCAGTGCGATGATATTGGATGTGTTGCTGACAGCTGTCCTTCCCTTAAAAAACACACACCTGTTTTGGGTTTACTGGTTTCAAGAAGCACTGCTTGATGTAAACCATCGCAGAAAAGAGCTCTCAGAAGACCTACGATCAAGAATTGTTGACTTGCATGAAGCTGGAAAGGGTTACAAAAGTATCTCCAAAAGCCTTGATGTTCATGTGACCACGGAAAGACAGACTGTCTACAAATGGAGAAATTTTAGCACTGTTGCTGCTCTCCCTAGGCGTGGTCGTCCTGTAAAAATGACTGCAAGAGCACAGCGCAGAATGCATGCATGAGGTAAAGAATCCCAGAGTGTCAGCTAAAGACCTACAGAAATCTTCAGACATTTTTGTTGACACATCTACAATAAGGAAAACATTAAACAAGAATGGAGTACATGGGAGGACACCACTGAGGAAGCCATTGCTGTCCAAAAAGAATATTGCAGCACGTTTGAAGTTTGCAAAAGAGCACCTGGATGTTCCACAGCACTATCGGCAAAATATACTGTGGACAGATGAAACCAAGATTGAGTTGTTTGGGAAGAACACAACACTATGTGTGGAGAAAAAAAGGCACAGCACACCAACATCAAAACCTCATCCCCACTGTAAAACATGGCGGAGGGAGCATCATGGTTTGGGGCTGCTTTGCTGCCTCAGGGCCTGGACGGATTGTTGTCATTGATGGGAAAATGAATTCCAGAGTTTATCAAGACATTTTGCAGGAAAACGTACGACCATCTGTCCGCCAACTGAAGCTCCGCAGAGGATGGGTGATGCAACAGGACAATGACCCAAAGCATACAAGTAATTCAACAAAACAATGGCTGCAACAGCACAGAATACGCCTTCTGGAGTGGCCCAGTCAGAGTCCTGACCTCAGCCCGATTGAAATGCTGTGGCATGACCTTAAACCTCCTTGGCGGTATGATTCTTTCCGATTTTTTTGTGCTGAAAGCGGTACCATTTTTTTGCATGGAAATATGTAGTTTTTTATTGTAGGCTGTAATTTTTAAGATAACTCAATGAAATCTGTACAAACAAGAGTCTATTAAACATCCCGGGTTTAAAATTTGAAACACAAAATCATAAATTATTTTAATAAATAATCATTTTTATATAATAATAATAAATTTAATTCAATAATATAATCAAACCAAAAACACTGAAATTTGAAATACAGAGGCAAATTCGCACATCGCTGAGCAAAGTCGCAAAATCGTTTTCAGTGTCTGATGACGAATTTCCCCACAAATTATTATCACTCAATTCTGCAAGTGGTTCTGATTTACTATCGCTGTTCTAAAACCGCTTTTGACGTAAAGGGACGCTTTTTGGAAGCCATGGACTTTTCTAAGTTTCCAGGCAGAAAGAACATTCAAAATGCAGGCAGGGCACAGGACAAAGCAGTGGGGACAAAATATATGTGAAATGCATTGAAACAGCAATGACAGCAAAAATTACATTTTTTAAAAATTTCAAATTTTCCGCCGGTTCGGCGCCCATACGTCCCGACGTCACAGGGACCAGAAGCCAGGTGCCAGCATCGGCCGGAGGAGATGGCCGGGGACGCTGCAGGGGACACATCGCGGGAGCGAAGGACAAGGTAAGTGCTGCAGGGACCCCCAGAGCAACGCCGCATGGTAAGCCCGAGTGTATGTAAGTCCATAGGTTCACATTCTTTTTCCTCCCTTCACTGTGAATGTTTACATGTTATGTGCAATTTAACCATGGCAACATCTAATGTTTGTGTAGTATTATGATCAGCAGACTGTGTTCTTCTATTGTTGTGACTTAGATGATGTTCAGAGCACATTTTATGCCCAATTCATGCAAAACTCCACGTAATCCCAAGGGGTTCACATACTTTTTCTTGCAACTGTATACTTACCTTCCCTATGGTTTTATACAGAGTAGCTCCGAACTTTCTCTACTGGGGTCCCGCTGTCATCAAAATATAATTCCAGGTTCTGGTGTCCCTGGCTGGGGAAGAAACTAATGGAGCGATATCGGATATTTACATTTATACATTTACACTTCATACAGTTATGCTTTTACATTTTATACATTTATATCTTTACATCTTTATATATGTATTTTTTTAAAACGTTTTCAAAACATCAAGAGCTACAACTAATTCAAAACTACTGCAACCATCTTGTATAAAGAGAGAAAA